CTGGTGGAGTTTTATAAAATATTTTAATGTGTTGATGGTGCCTTAAGAGATGAAATTGCTGAGCATACAGTGAATAGGCTGGCTAGGCAGTGAGCCACTGAGAAGTCAGCAGGCAACAGTTACTTGAAACGCGTGGGTGTGAGGCCAGGGAGAGGATCAGAATTGTTCAGGCATGGAGTGGAGTCATGAGGTGGAATATAAACAGAAGAAAATTGAGACTAATGTGAGTATCTTCTTGATGGTTGTAGCTGGGCTGTGAGATGACAAGTTTGACAGCTCAAAGAACACAACTTCTGAATGAGAGACTGCTGACACACAGTGAACAAGGCCTGCCACGGGTTGGTGATTCTGTCTTTTTCCTCATTTGGGTCCCAAAACTTGCCTTCTCCCATTGCTGTTCTTCCTCACAGCTCATGCACTCCTTTGTGCCTTCAAGGGACCGTCAGCTCTGGTCATAGCAAGTGGTACGTATGTGCTGGAAGAGATAGTCGGGTCCACCATAGACTGTGGCAATACAGGTGTTGCTGGTGCTGGTAGAAGAAAGGACTGAGCTCGAAAATGTGATGAGGGTTGTGAGGAGGCTATAAAGACTGTGAGGGGGTTGTATGGGATTGGTATGGCTGCTTCTTCACCTGTCTACCTCAGTCTTTGCACAACATGTCAAGGGAGGGAGAGCCGGCTCCTCACTGACAGTGGCTGTGTTCTGGTGCTGGCCACTGCAGGACAGAGGGGAGAAGTTCTCGGGTGGGGTTTGTGGATAGGGCAAGGCCAAGGTGGCAATGAGTTGTCCCTTTCTTCTTCAGCTGATTTCGGGGAACTTAGTAATGGTAGCAGACTTCTCAAATCAAGGTTCATGGCTCAGCTGGGATCTCCTGTTGTTTTGTCCTAAGTTAATACTCACTTGACTGAGAAAATGCCACGATCAGGTCCTCACATCTGTGTTTGAATAACTGCAGCTAAGAAAACCAGGCATTTGCTAAAAATATAGCCAGTTAGTGCTCATTTTTCCAAGAGATGGCTGGATTGACTGTGGAGAGTGGAGGATTCGCGGATCTACCAGAGCATTTTTTTACCTCTGATGCAGAAAACTAACGTAATTTAAATGAACAGCCTTGAAAATGCAGTGCTGAGAGGGTGGTACAAGGTGAAAGGGGTCTCATAGTCACCTGCCTTCAGAGAGGCTGCTGTGTCACAAGGAAGCAGCGTTGAGGACACAGCAGTTGCACCCTCTGCATGTGCCCACAGATCCTGTGGGTTGTTCCAGAAACACGACATGTGTGTGACTGTGGATCATGGTAATGACTGGCAATGCTTGTGTCTAATATCTTGCCAAAACATTTCACCAAGGGGAGCAAAAAAGCTCAAATGTGGTTTTCTTCATTTTATTTAATATAGATGCCTCCTGCAGAGTCAGTTGCAATATAGTTCACATTGGATTTTCCCATTCCCAGGAGAGTTTCCTTTCTCTTCTCCTTGACTGTCCAAAGGCCAGGAGTAAACCTTCTCCCAGGATGAACATCCTGCTCTTGCCTTTAGCTTTGGTATCAGTTTGGTTTAGTACTGACAGATACCAGCAAATCTTTCTTACTCTGCTACATTTGTACAAGTAAGTAGCTCCAAGCAGGTCACTCCCAGCTCCATTCTGAGTGCGGAGTCAGTACAGCATCCCTCAGAAACTGGCAGTTTTATTTCATTACGTTTTACTGAGGATGTTAGATTGTGCATGTGGAGGTGGACACCTCCTCCCTGCAGATTTCTACGCTGCAGTTCACTGAACTCGCTTTACAGGATACTGTATAGAATGTATCTGATGTGTCTAGATGTTTTTGGCATTAGTATGTAAGAATCAATTCTATTTTAGCTTTTACACTTTTAAGATGGAACACAAAAAATGTACAAAAATACTTTTAAAAGAAAACTATATGAAACCGTATCATTTGCAGAGTCTGTGCCAATGTTTACAGATTAATTACAGCTTAGTACATGTGCCTTTGTATATGCCTTCCTCTCCAAGTCAAAAAGAAAGCTTCCTGAGAAATATTCAAGGTTCATAGCCTGCGATTCCAGCACAGTGATAAAAATACCTTGACATTTTGGGGTAAGTTTTCCCCTAACAGTTGCCAAGTACACTGACACTTTTCTTACTGAACACACTGCTGTTCTCCCTGCTTCCGTGGGGAATGCACCATCTCTGGTTCAGCTCATGTTTGTCCCCTGACCAGAAGGGAAGTTGCTTTCAAACTGCGCACTGGGTGCCGTGCTTGGTGGTTACAGTGTTGGCCATTGGCTGTTGCGCTTGTTCTGCCAACCTTGCAGGGCTAATGGAGGCACTCTGGTACTTAAATAGGGGTACTTTTAATGGGAGGTTATCGTATTTGGAAATCGTAATGTCTGTAAACCTAATCAATGAGGAAATATGGTATTCAGTTCATCAGTGACTGTCTATAAAATAATTCTACTTGACTAAAATTTACAGAAGGTTTATATAGTTCACTTTTTCATACAGTTTTATAAAAAGTACAGTTGTCCTGCAGGGAGGGATTACTCTGCCAAATTTGGAGTCTGTTCAATAACAGAGGTGTGGCGTGTAAGGATTATAGCCCTTTAAATTTGAACACACACTTCAGTATACAAGCCTTTGTTCATGGTAGCCTCTGATACTCGCTCACTATCATAACAGCATCTCATAAATTGGATTTACCGTGTTCCCTTATCCTCAGTGCATGCTCATTTTATTCATTAGATCACTCTCACCATTGTGAGTGCTTGAATAGCTGCTACACCAATGAGGTGTCATCCTGCTCGCTAGTCTGAATTAAATTGAATCAATTTCCTTTTCCTCACCACCATATGTGACTGTTTCTCACAAGACTCCTTTCCCCCAGCATTTATTAAATCTTCAAGAATCAGGTTGAAGCTACTACATAGCCCTGCAGATCTAAAATTGAAAGCATTAAAGCTTTGCAATTCTTCTTTTCTTGCCTTCCAGAAAGAAGCAAACCACTTGCATCTTGTCATGAAATGTTATATTTGGTCTAAGAACCTAACAGACTGGTTTTTTTTAATAAGTATCATGACAATTTCAGCTGATTTTTAAGTATCAGTTAACTTTGAGTCTCGTTTGATATGATTTCACTTTTTATAAGATTTTGTGTGGGTAAAGTCCTGATGTTTAAGACCACCTCCCTTTTAACAAAATACCATGAAATCATTCATGAATAAATTTAAGCAAGTAACATCTTTATGCCATGCCAGTCTGTTTGCAGGAAATAAAATTGCAGCACAACATGCAGTCAACTACAACCAGAGGAGTCCTGCTGTCGTGCAGCCATAATCACGAGCATCACATGGGAGAGCATCGAGCACAGGATGCCTGCGCAGTTCCAGAAGGTTCACAAGAGCCTCTGCAGCAGAAGGGCCTGACGGCACAGCACGCTCCCAGCAGCGGGCAGAGTCACCGCAGGCAGCATATGGGAAAAGACAGAAATTGGCCATCTGGAAGCAGGGAATCGCACAGCCCAGGGGATGCAGTGATAAATTTATTATAATCACTGCTTTCTCTCTCTTTTTCAGCCAAACTGAGCATTTTAGGGCATTTAGTCTGGTCTAAAATTAACTGTGAAACACTCATTGTGTAATACAGCCACAAAATGATTCGGTTTTTGCATTTTGCTTTTTAAATAAATGGAGTGCAAGAGCTCAAATTTTGTTCCAGCTGCACTTCAATTACATTTCCTTTGACTAGCACTTGTGACAAGCCAGACACCTTTCTCTACATGTAAGTTTTACAAGTTTATTTGTAGTCTATTGTAACTACTGTTCAGATTCATAATCAAGAGAAAGGTAAACATTACAGTTCTTGCAGAGGAAAAAGGTCTGTCATGACATGTCCAGTTCAGCTTCCTCTGATTTTCTGTCAAAACTCTGAAGACCTTGTCTAGTGCCCCAGTCCTGGTCTCCCTTACCATTAGGAGCAAATTTACCCCTTTGTGTGGAGCTTCCAAATGAGGTTAGAGAAGTCATCCAGGGGCAAGACATGACCAGGCACATCCTAGCAGGTAATTGGTGCAGCTCTCAATTGCTGGTGAGATCCAGGGCTCTTGCAAATGCTTCAGTTCTTGGCTATCTATCCCCACAGACTTCAGGTAGATAATTTGAACCAATCAGTAAGTTCTGTAAGGTTTTCTGTAGAAAATTATGTGGCCATAAGAGAGATTATTACCTTGACAGATTTTGAAATGCAAGAAAATAGTAATTTATCTTGCTTGTGATCTTCATTTTATTAGTATTATTATTATCATCTTGTGGAAATTACTAATATGTCCTTTCTACAAAGGAACTGTGACTGTTGCTAGTGCAGGCTCATACTACAAATAGATTAAACTTTTATCTTGAAACTGATGGGTACAGTGTTTCATTAGAGGATAAAGCACTTTAGAAGAATGAATTAGAGGTCTAGCAGTTAGATAAATAGCAATTATTTACCTGCATCTGAAATTAAGCCATACCACAGCAAAGTTGCAAAAACAACCACAGTGCAAGTGAACTTGCAAGCACCAAATTTGTGTTTCCTTACAGGAGCTCATGAATGATCAAGAGGGGCCGGAAATAAAGGCATAACATTAGTGGCTGACCTGGTCAGTAGTTCAGTTTATATGGTCAGGAACTGCTGCACTCCACCTAGGATGCTGGATAAGGCTTTCCAGCTGCGTGGGGTCTGTCTGAGCCAGGCTGCTGTGTACGAGGCTCACAAACTGCCCCCTCAGGCACTGCACAGGTCAGACCTTCACCTGCTGTCACTTCTCATCACTATGTGTACCTCTGGTATGCTTAGGTTTATTCACAAAGGTTGAATATAGGATCTCTTCCCCCCACTTAAAATTGCTCCTGAAAAGCAGAATAAAACTGAACAGTTCTCAGCAGAACAGAAGTCAACAGAAAGGTGCACTTCTGTCACTTCCAAGTGACAGTTTTACAATTGCATGTTCACACAACAAGGCTTAATTGTAAGAAGTCATTTTATTGTTGAAATAAACTACTTATTTACAGAGATAGTTACTTTACAGTTTTACAAAGCAGACATAATCCTTCCCAGAATAAAGTATCAAAACAGTGACAGATTTAGCACTGTCTAAATGTAGTTTACTCCAAAAAGAAATCTACAGCAATTAGGCTAAATCACACCAACCACATAATAAAATGCCGTCCCTTGCAACTACAACGGTATAAAAACTTTTTATCAGTCACGATCTAGTGGATAAGGCATCTGCTATACTTCTTTCTTCTTAAGTATTAGTGGACCTACATTATCTCCTGTTAATTCATTGTGCTTGTTGTGGGAGCCATCACAGACAGGGAACTGGAAGAAAACATACATGAGAAGTTAATTCTGTACAGCAATTGCCCAGTGATTTTATACTTCATCCTGTGCCAAGAGCACTTCGATAATGTAGCTAGTTCCTCCTCCTATGTCTCATTTCAACATCAAACTCCCTCTCTCCTGTCAGATACAGGACACATTTTACTAAGGGAAAAAAAGAACACCACAAAAAACAGGTAAACTAAGTTTGTGAGGTCCTAAAATAGCTGTTCTTAGACACAAAGTTAGAGACAAAGCCTTTCCCACAAAATAACAACAAGCAAAGCAGCTTTCACAGCCACAAATGGTTTAAGGTTTACTGTGGAACAAGTAAAAGTGCTCTTAATAGATTTAATCATTTGCAACCAGAAAGTTACTGTTTTAGGGAAAGCTGAAATACTTTGCTGAAGTGATTAATCTGAAAGGAGAACAGTTGAGAGGGTTTCTTAGGTCCAGAGTAGATTTTTTTGTTAAAACAGGAAAGCACTCAATCCAGAGAAGACAAAACCAGAGTGCAGTCAGGACACTGAAAAGAAATTGAGGGTAGAGGAAAAATATTCATGTGCATCTAGTAGGTTTGGGGGATACAGACTATCCAAACAAGCAATCTACTGGCTGCTCTGGACCAGATGGGGATACAGTCTCCCTCACCAAGACAAGTCCAGCCTTACTTCCATTCTAACCTTTCTAAGCATTGGTTTTGTAAAACAGACTAGTTATCTTCTAATTAGATCCAATATATTTCCAAATACTAAACAAAGCTTGCTTGGTTTTAATCTACTCATAGGTGGCCACTCTGTAACTGTTTCAAGAAAAACCCCACTGTGTTTCTTACAGGTTTCTACAGTTTGTTTCTGCATGCAGAGATGTTTACAGTGGAGAAAATAAGAACTGTGCTATTCTCAAAAAGCAGGAACACGTTCCGCCTCCAGAGAACAGCAACAGACCAACACATAGCAATTCACCACCAAAGCACTGACAGAGGTATGCAAAAGCTGCAATCTCTAGTCCTACAGTAGCGCAAGTATCTTACCGTCTTGGAACGCCAACACCTGCAGTAAGCTTTAGTGAGGCACAGATCCTCAATGTTTATTTCATTCACTACTTTTGGGTTTTCCTTCTGGATCTTGAGGTTAATCAAGCTGTCCTTTTGCTGCTTCTTCTTGGGGAGGAACGGACGAACGGCGAGGTAACCCAGCAAGGCCAGCACACCCAGGAAAGGCAACAACCGCAGCCATTCTGAAACTAAAGAGAGGGGGAATTTAGGTACCACTGCAGCATGGGGCAGCATCAGCTGCTCTCAGGTGACTTTGGGTGAAGGTAGGAATGGGGTTGCTCAGTCTGCAAAGCTCTGAGAGCAAACAAGACACTACGGGCGAGTCTTAAGAAGAAAGAAAACCCAGATTAAAACCTGAGTTTTACTCTAGCCAAGGTAGAAATCTGACTCCTAAAATCCTGAAGTTTAATTTTAACACTGTAGAAGATGACTCAATGGAAGAGAATAAATCCAAAACAAATAAAAGATGTACTGAAATGAGAAACCCTAAAATCAGAGGCGTTCTGCACTCATGAGGTAAATTGGGTACTGGCAAACCGGGCATGATTACAAGTGGTAAGTATATTCAATGCCAGTATCTTAACATTCTGTATATGAAGAGCTATTTAGTACCTTTTATAATTGAACTTGTAATTGCTTAACTCAGATTTTTAGCTTCTTGAAGTTTTTCACATTTTATCTGTTCCAAGTGTTTTAAGAACCTTCTGGTGGAAATGATAGTTTATTAAATAAGCACTGGCAAAACCTTCACCAATCTTTTTGGTTTTATTTTTCAGAGTTCCTTTTGCTCAGGGATCTGCAACCAGTTTCTACAATACACAGAGAAAGAAAGTCCTGAGATCAAGTAAATCAAGCCTTGGAAAACAGCTTTTTACCAAGCCGCAGAATTTAAAGTACAGGTAAGAGACTCAAGTATCCTCTGCAGACTGAGCTGCCCTGCTGTATGATTACAAATCTTCTGGACATACTGGTGAGAGCTGGACTTTTGAAGAAATTCCTCAGCACCTGGCATAAGATCTATAGATATTAAAGGTGGATTCGCTTTTCCAGCAAAACATGCTGTGACAATACTCCAGTGTAATTTAAGTACCATGGTGCAATAAAAAAGAGCATTTTTTCCTAAATTTCTAGAGAACACATTAAATCTAAACACTCACGCAGAAATGGAAGACAGTTAAAAATATTTCAAAATGAGAAACAAAGCAGCGTAATGAGCTGGAGCACAAATAGCTGCACAAACATGTGGCAAGATAAGACACTGCAATCTTTTAAATGATTCAGGATCAGGACATAGTGAAATTTTGTTCTACAGTTTGTTTTTTGAGATTAAGATGTACAAGAAAGGAAACATCTCCATGCTAACAATTTTCCAGTTAGAACACAGTTACTTTTTCTTAATAGTACACCATGCAATGAAAATACTTTGTGGGACTAGTTTTATGTTCTTTGAGCCTTTTACAGCCTTTGACATGAAAGCCACTCTTACTGCATTTCTCTGGGAACACAGCACAGTTGTATAAGCGCTAAAGGTACTGCAAGAACTCCCAGCAGTCTTTCCACACCTGCACCCACAGTGGTCCCTACGCACAGCAATTGACAATATTTGCCAAGAGTCACTGCAATAGTCTAATCTCTGTTGGTCTCTTCTCAGTTCCCCCAACAAGCTGTAAGCTCTAAATTGTACCAATTAACACTGAGATACTTAAACGTTTATTTTCAGTTACACAAAATACTGAGTTTCCTGGACAGCAGCCTGCTTGTCCCTTCTATCATTACTGTTTCAGAACAACCACCACCAACAACCCAAATGCACTTTTTGACCTTAAATGAAGGACTGACTCAAAACCTACTGTAGAAGAGAAGAAAAACATGGAAATTGTTTTCAATGACCAAATACGAGTATCTAACCTGTCTCTTGGCAAGGAGGTGGATCTCCACAAAGCTGTTCTGAACTCCAAGACACAACAGACAGTCCAACAGGTGCACCACAACCAGAAGCAGGGCACCTTTCAAGCATGTGATGAATACAACTGGGCTAAGACTGGCATACAAAAAGGCAATGTTTCACATCAGAATTAAACTAAACAGCAAGCAACATCTCAATTAAGCTTGAAACTCCATGATACGACATCAAAATTGGAACAGTAGTCATGTCTAGGAGGCACTCGCAACCAGTTGGGTTCATCCAAATGAAACAGGAACATGACAGCTGTAACCTCTGAGAGCAGAAACAGGAATACGAAGTACAAGGATATTATTTATCATGGTTATTATTTAATATTTGTATCATTCTAACTGCTGATAAAGAGTTTTGTCCTCACTAGCCAATGGTTTCTTTACATATTTATGATCTGGGTGTCTCTAGAAAGCCTCCATTATACCAATCACAAACTGACTTGTTATTGCCAAAAGACTGCCAGAAGCTCATACTTTTAGATTGAAGAATCAACATGACCATACTTCTAGGGCAGGAGAGACAAGATACTGTCACAAAGTATAAAAGTCACATTCTTTGGACAGGGATGGGAGACAAGCTTCACTGAAACTAATGCAGGATCTTCCTACAGCTGTAAGCTGCTCTGTGTTTTTGAAGCCATTCATACCTCTCTGTGGATGTAATGCAATTCACAAGACTGTTTATTTTCACAGCCGATAACTCAGAATTCAGCAGTGACAACGATTCTGGAGATTCTTTATCAGTTCAGTTGCATGGGAAGAGCCAGTCTTTGGAGCCAGAAATGGAAAGTAGAGTATCAAAGAGGTTAATCTTCAAATTTGACTTGTGTTAGACAGAGACCAATTCCAAAGATAAGTCCTGGAAAATATCAAGAACACTTGAAAATATCAAG